CCCCCCTTTCACAGGGGAGGAGACAGAGGCCCACAGAGGGGAAATGACTGATCCAAGTCCAACAGTGAGATTCAGGGAGGAAGCTGTCCTAGGCTGCAGAAGCCCATATCCCCGCCCTCCAGCAAGGGGCCTGGAGGGCATATCTAGGCTGGCCCTGAGCCTGCCCTTCTCCCCACCCAGGGCAGTGCTGACTCAGGCGATGATGGAGGCGTGGGCGGGCTGGGCTGGAGCAGAGGTGACCCCTGTCTCCCCTGCAGACATTCCATCTATTCCCGGAGTCTGTGGTCACAGCTTGGGAAATGCACTTGGCTGGGGCATGGGTTTCCCTGAAGGTGGGGGTGGGGAGATCTGGCAAAAGGGACAATGATCTCTAGGGCATGAACCCCCAACCTGAGCACAGTGCACAACCCCTCCCTCACAGAAGTACACAGAACTCACACCCACTGCCATAAACACATGCACATACTCACAATCACATACACTCACCCCCAAATACCCGATCATACAGCCGCACAAACCTCCATTCCCCTCCCCTCACTTTCTATTATACCCACACATTCATACACACATGCATAAGCATGTGCAGACATTTCCACTCATTCATTCAACAAAAATTGAACACTGTTAAGTGTCAGTGCCAGGCAGGGGGGAAAGGTGGCTCTCAGCTTGGGAAGGGTCAGGGGCTGCCTAGAGGGCTTCCTGGAGGAGGAGGTATTGCAGCTGGGCCTGGATGGAGGGGGGCCAGGGGATGGGAAGTCTGGGGGTGAATACAAGAGAGCAGAGCGAGATGAGGTGGGTGGGGCTGGCCTGGTCACACAAGCCTTGAATGCCGACCTGAGTGTTGACTTCATCCTATGGGAGCCAGGAGCCATGGAGAACTCTGAGCAGGGGGGAACATGACCACAATTGGGAAGGATAGGAGGGTCCCAGGGAGGAGGCTATGATGACACCCAGGTGAAAGATCTGAGAGTCTGACCAGGGTGGTGGTAGTGGGTGGTCAGGAGTGGACAGACAGAGAAACTCGGAAGCAGGACTACCTGAGGGGCCCTGATCCCAGCCCTGTGGCCTCACCCTGCCCACCCACTGCCCACCACGAGCACTGACCTCTGCAGTGGGACCTCTTCCAGCAGCTCCTCCTCCTCCTCCTTGTGGAAACAGATGAAGCAGAAGGCTGGCACATCCTCAGTTCCACAGCCCAGGGGCCAGGCTGGAGGCAGCTCCAGGACAGGGCAGGGGTGGCTGGTGGTGGCCTCAGCAGCATCGTCTCTTGTCTGGGCAGGGGTCCCCGAGCCAGCGTGCTCCAGGGTCAGTAGCCCATTGGCCTCAGGACCCCGCGCCTGCCCACCTGCCACCTGTGCCTTTTCACTCAGGTTACCCGTCGCCTCGGTGGGTGGAAGAGCCTGTGGCTCTGGCTGATGGGAACTGCTGTCCTGACCCGCAGGGCTGCCAGCCACGGGGCTGGGCCTGGGGAAGCAGCTGCCAGCCACCGGGACTCAGAAGTGGCTGGCTGGTGGACAAAGGTCCGGCAGGGCCCCTCGCTGCCCCTCGTGGTGCCTGAGGCCCCTCAGCTGCTCACTCTGCTGCTGACTCTCAGAGGCAGGCCTGGGAGGACAGGCTCGCAGATGCCCTGTCCATCTGTTCATCTGTCTGTCCGGCCGCCTGCTCCTCCCCGTCCCTGCAGTGGAGGTGATTTCCCTAAGAAAGTTTGTTCTCCCCTGCTGGGGTGGTGGGTGGCACGGGTGGCCTCCAGGAGGGAGGAGGGTCAGGACCTGAAGGTGAAAGGTGGGCGAGGACCAGGTGAGGTGCAGTGCCCACGCTGTCCCCGAGAAAAGTTCTGGTCCCTGGAGCCCTGGCTGCAGCTCCGGCTCTGACTGGAGCTCCCTCTGCTCCCTGCTCCTCTGACTCCAGTGGCTGCTCTGGCAGACCGGCTTGGCTGTGGGTATTAATAGCTCCACATTCACGCAGAGAAGCCGGGAGGTTAACTCCTTCCCTGCCAGAGCTGGGAGGCCGTGGGCGGGTGGCCACGGGAGCAGAGAGAAGGAAGGCGGTATCTGAATTCCACCCCTGCCTGAGCCTGGCTTGCCTCCCACTGGACCCTCAGATGCCACCCATGTCTGTGAAGCACTCAACAGGCATCTGGATCTTGGTCAGATTGCCCTGGCCGCTGGAACATGCCACGCGCATCTCCAGGGAGCTGGGGGAGACTAGGGGCTCAGGGCAGCACCCCTGTGATGGGCAGGGCTCTGAGCTCCAGGAAACATCCCTAGGACCCCTTTACTTACCCACCCACTCCTTGGTCCCCACTATGTTCCCTTAAGAAGCAATTACTATCACTGACTCTGGGTCTAGTTCCATCACTGGCTTCCTGTGGGAAACCCCCACCTACCCACCCACTGAAAAGAACCACATACAGCCCCTATGGGACCCAGAGATGGACCACATGCAGCCCCCGGTGTATTCTATTGAGTATAGGAAGAGGATGGGAGAGGGGGAATCTGAGTAGAATTTGTTTGCTTCAAAAATTGTTTATTGAGCACCGGCTACATGCCAGGCACTGCCCTGAGCACTGGGCAAACAGCAATCAAGGGGGCGGACACTATTCCTACCTTGGTGGGCTTGTCTGGGAGGACTCTGGGGCTGAAGCTCGTAGATCTTGTGCCGATGTGTAAATTAGTAAAAGGCATTCCCTCTAGGCAGGTGTGGCATCCCCCAACTAAGACCAGCTGAGAGTATAGATCATAGGCTGGGTTTCAGCCCCCATCACCTCCTCTGCAATCTGCAACATGCACAACCATTCACAGTGGCCCTGGAAGCACCAACACACAAAGGAAAAATAAATTCAGCTTGTGAAAAGTGTTATGAAAAAATAAAACAGTGAGATGTGAGAGAGGCTGTTGGGGAGATGGTTTGATAGGATGTTCAGGGAAGACCTCCCAAGGAGGTGACACTGGAGCTGTGACCAGCAGGAGGAGGAGCCAGCCAGAAGACCTGGAAGGAGGACAGGTCCAGGAAGAGGGATGAGCAGGTGCAAAGGTTCAGAGGCAAGAACTAGCCGAACTATTTAAGGAAGAGAGTGAGGAGCAGAGGAGGTCTTTAAGCTGAGTTTTCAAGAGTGAGTAGAGTTTTTCCCAGGCTCTAGAAGTGGGGCATCACCAGCAGAGAGAGCAGGGAACCTACAAAGGCTCAGAGGCATGAAAGGATGCGTGATGTACTGCAAGACAGGAAGGAGATGCAGGTGGACATGGTCAGAGATGTAGGAGGTATTCATTCCAGAGCTGCCCCTCCCGGGGCTCTGAGGAGGAAGGAGGGATGGGAAGAGGATGGAAATGGGAACCTGGGACAGCTGCGGGGCTAAGGAGATGCATGGGAGGTGGAGAGGCTTGGAAGGAAACATCATTTCATTTTTTGAACTGAATTCCACTGACTAGAAGGACAGACCTGGGCTGCCTTGGCCAAGAAAAGGTGGGGGTGGGGTCAGAGCCCCCATGTACAGTTGTTTAGGTTGCACACACTGCATAGGGTGCCCTGGCGGATGGTGAGTGGAGGCTGACATCCAGCCCCACCTCTGCTCTGCCAAGTCTTGCACCTTTAGAACTGTGACTGCATGGAGGGGTGGGTGTCACCTTTCTCTCATCGGTCCACTCAGAAGGGTTCCTTTTTCGTACTGGTCAGCTGAAGAGTACCTTTGAAAAAATGAGTCCACCTAGAAAGGTCTCTTTTTTGCATTGGTATGTTCAGAGGGCATGCTGTCAACTAATTGGTTCATCCAGAAAGGTGCCATTTTCCAATTGGTCAACCCAAAGGGGGTGACTTTTTTTCTGATTTGCACAAAATTGCCCTAGATGCTGGTCTGGGGGGAATGACCTAGGGGCCCCAGGTTTTAGTGTGGGCTTTGCTACAGACCTGCTGCTTGCTTTGGGTCAGTCACTGTCCCTCTCTGGAACCACAGAGCTGTAGGCTTAGCTAGAGGAATGAGCCCAGAAGGGGCAGACTCCCCCGAGGTCACAGTGACACACAGCAGAGCCAGGCGCTCTTTCTTCTCATCTCAGTGCTCTGTCTTCCTAGGTGGCTTGTCTTGGAGACTTGATGTTTATTTGAGGAGAGGACAGGAAATGAGAGGGGACAGGAGGAATAGTAGAGATTCATGGAGGAGGGAAGGGGAGGGGAGGTCAGGCCAGGTTAGGGCTCCCTGGGGTGGGAGTCATAAAGGGTCAGGTGCCCCAGGCCTCCAGGCGCCCCTTCCCCCTCCCCTGGGCCCTATGGGGCTGTCATTTGTGGATGTTAATTATTCATGATGCTGGTGCTTTGCCTGGTTTTAATGCACTCTGATGGCTTTCTCTAGCTAATGGGGAAAATCAATAGGTTTTAATTCTCAGTGGCTGTGAAGCTCTGTCTGTCTCCTGTTTGGGTGGCTGGGCCTGGCTCTTGGGCTGGGGGTTGGGTGCAGGCTCAGACCCAGTTCACAAGAGCCTGAGACGCCACTTTTCCCTCTCTTGGCCCCACTGCCTTCTGACTCCAGCCTGGGGAGGGAAGATTAGAGTCACCAGGCAGTTTCAAATGCTTCTTCAAGCATCTCGGAGGGTCTAAGCACTTACGTCTCAGCCATTCAACCCCCCTCCAAGAGAGATGGCCCCTGCGCCAGAATTGTGGATCAGAGACGTGTCAGCAGGGGCGGCCCCACCAGCTTTTGGGGGCTGGAGTTAGGCCTGCAGCCCTCCCACTTGGGACCAGGCCCAGTCCTCCTCCTGGGCTCAGGCCCGGCTCACAGACCTGTCTCGGGCGTGGCGGGGCGGGAAGGAGGGTGGATTCTGGTCCAGGCCTCACATTGCTGAAGAGACTTAAATGTAACCTTTGGATATTATTTCTACCTGCCGTTGACTGCTCAGCCATACACATTTTAAAAAATTGGGTCAGGGGTGGGGTATCACTGAAAGGAAGAAGAGAGACTAGAATACAGTGAGCAGTCAAGAAGGCCTAAATCACAGCTGAAACAAACCTCCTCTCTGCTTCCTGCCGTAAACTCTGTTTACCAGTCCACTTCTTGGTCTTTTAAATTGAGGAAATCTGTGGTGCACGACGATTACTCTGACAGGACTGAGAACCGAGAACATTCATGGGACGTTCAGAGCTTCTCCCGTCTCCTCCTCTGACTTCCCATGGGGTATCCCTGAGTCAGTGTCCTTATGAAACCTGTCATTATCTTGTGAACGAAACAACTATCTTGTACTTGCATGTGTGTTAAAAGTGTTAATTAGGCAAGTGTAAACATTTATGATACACTGTGGTCTTCATCACACTGTTTTTGGCATTTCTTTTTTTAAAATTTTTTAATTAATTTTTTTAGTGGGGGAGGTAAATAGGTTTGTTTATTTATTTTAATGGAGGTACCCAGGATTGAGCCCAGGACCTCATGCATGCTAAGCAAGCACTCTGCCACTGAGCTACACCCTTCTCCTTGTTTTTGGCATTTCTTAATGTTTCCAGAACCAGTGAGACCCCCTAAATGAAAGAGGCCTGAGATGTGTCGACCTTAGAGGAACTTGCCTCCTTCCCCGACAACCTAGGCCTTTCCCAATGAACCCTAGATACATGCCTGGTTGGCTGGATATACTCAGACCATCTGCAGGGGCTGTCTGCTGGATTCCTAGCCTTAGGTGGTGGCCTTTGGGAACCAGGAACTAGGATGTGAATGGTGACTGCCAGGCCTCACCTGTCCTGTCCACCCAGACCCCAGTGGACACTCCCCCACGCCTCTTATTTTCCATTTTGGACTCAAGTATTCAGAAGGCGGAGTTAATCCTTCTGGTCTGTTCGTGGCATGTTGTTATTCTTGGTCCCTGCAGGACCCCTCCCTTGCTTTGGTTTGCTTGCTTTCATTTCTCTATTCTTTTTCATCCCCGTGGATGACGGGCAGGCAAAAGCTGCTGAGCTTTACTCTAAATACCCACCTCGTGGGATTATGGGGCATGTGAAATGCCTGGCACGTGATAAGTGAGTGGGCTCTCTCCCCCAGGGGCCTCTGAAGCTCAGACAAAGCCCCCTCCCCCTTGGCACACCTGGCTGTGTTTTCAAAGTCTTTCACTAAAGAGCTGAATGATCTGCTGGGATAGAACCTAAATTGCTCACAGTCTGAGCGGGGAGTAAATACAGACAAAACTAGCTCCCATTTTAAGCTCAAATTCAGTAGTCACTGGGTACACACTCTAAGCCAGGCCCCAGGCTGGGCAGTTCATCGGGGGCCCAGACAGGCTCAGAGAAGAAACAGTCCCACCGTAGGGGGTTCTCTGCCCAGTGCGGGTGGGTGAGAGATGGCTTTTCTCTTTCTACTAAATAGGGTTCAGCTAAGTTGCTGTAACAAAGAGGCCTCACATCACAGTGGCTCAAACAAATCTTCTGAGAAATTAATTAGGGGCATATGCCAAAGTTTTATTTCAGGTTTGCCGTGAGGAAAGAGGCTTATGATCAATTTAGTTCAAAGAGACCTTTCCCTTTTAGAGGAAAAAGAATGGTTAGATATTTGTTGTTCAATCAGACACAAGAAAAAAGAAAGTCTGATTTCAGATCGCTAGCACCCTGAGTGATTGACAGCTAAGTGGATGGGAAGCTCACTTCCTAGAAGAGGTCTTTTTGTTTG